ATCTTACTTCTATCATTGACAGTCCCTCTAGGTTGTGGGCTGCTTGCCTGTGTTCCTGAGAAGCATCTATGGTACCAGTCTATAGAGTGTGTTTTCTTTAGTGAATTACCGGTATGTTTACCGGTAATAAACTTGCACTGTTTTATGTATATGTTTGATTACATACAGCCTTGTGACAGTTTTCCTGCATGTCATAAGCATTTGAATATAAATTAAAACGTTAAAATCAAATCTGATATTGTTTTACCTTTTATTTGGTGTGTGGAAGGTGTGCGGAAGAGGGGGTAGTCTTATACGGCGAGTATATAACAAACTCTGTATTTTGAGTGGAAATGTTAGGGGGTGGTCTTATACGCCCAGTCGTCTTATACGCCGGCAAATACGGTAGTTTCTGACAGTTTAGTAAAAGAGACCATCGTTGATCAGGTAAAAGTAAAGGGGGAAAAAGTTACAGGTATCATGAAACAAATAACAGAAGGAGATCATCTGTAGCGACACAACAACTTATCAAGGTAGATGAAGGTAGGAGGTTGACTGAGTAATGATTTCTGGAACTAGAGAAAGAATTTAGATAAAGTTGTTCATCCTGGCCTCCATTCATACATATCTTTAATTCATTAAAGCAGTAAGTTTGGGCAGAGAGAGATTGCATAACAGTAACTAGTTGAGCTTTTAGGGTGCCATTTCTGGGGAATCCTAAGAAAGGATGATGCACTTAGAAATGAGAATTCAACTCTCCCATAATGGCTCATTGTTTCTTCTGAAGGAGGTTCCGCATCTTGATGAAAAAATTAAATGAATTACAACAGTCCCTTGGCTAGATTGTTTTCAAGACATGTGAAAGTTCAGTGGTATCCCTGTGAACCCTTCCTCTACATTCTTGCCTTCTGTACTGACTTTAAAATGCGGGAGATTTTAAGTCAATTTACTACAGCAGCCTCACTATCACACACTGAAGAAATACTACCAAATAAATATAAGAGATCAAAAGCAAGTACCAGCAAGAGAGTGGGAGTTTTTGCTAGTTCACTTTGGAAATGCACCATATTTTTTTGCCTTACAGCTTCTCCATAGTTATGGTTCTTTCTTTTACTTAGAATTAGGAAAAGGGAAATATATCATACCAATGCATTTTACATGCAAACATATACATAAGCAATGCTCAGTCATAAAAGATTCACAAGTTTATATTATTATTTATAGTATACCCTTTTTACTAAACTCAAAATATACCTATGAAGTTCCAGTTCCTGTTGACATATATGACTTTCAGGGCCTGTTATATATCATGGTAAAGTCTCCTTGCAGGGGATGCTTTTAGTGCTGTGCCAAAAGTTTAATCTGGAACCAGACAAAACTAAACCAAGCTGAGATTCAAACCACTACAAAATTTGACTTAAAAAGTATCACAAGCTTATAAAACAAACAGAGAATCAAATATTCTTAACTACCCTAGAGAGAATCAAATATTCTTAACTAAATTTCTGAAAATCTCCTTATAATCTCTTGATGAAAATTCACTGGAATGTCCAAATTTGCCCTTCCTCAACCCCACATCTACTACTGCCTGGCCTCTCTCTTGGCATCTCTCACCGGCACTATTGCACATGTCTCGAGTCTACTCTCTCATCTTCTCTCCCTTCCACACTGTTCTGAGAATTACCTTGCTAAAAATCTGATAATGCCATGTCCCTGTTTAAAAGCCTCCACATACTCCCCATTGTCTATATTTTAATTCTTTAACTTGGCATAAATGTCCCCATACAAATTTGCTCCTGAGCTACCTCTCCAGCCTCAGCTGCTCTTCCACTCCATTCACTCAGTGTGTCCAGCCACAGGCAATACCTCACTTTTGCCCCTATGTGCTCCTTAGTGTGTCCTGTCCCATACATACCGTCTACTTTGCTTACAATTTTCTTTCCTTCCATTTATGCTTGGGAACTTTCTAACCCAGCCTTCTCTAAATTTAGCCAGGAATGCTTGGCAACATTGTCACAGTAATTTGTTCACCTCTGTTTAGACACTGACTTACATTGGTCTATGCTCCCTTCTTCACTTACTGTAGTCTTCACACTCTTTGGGGGCAAAGACTATGTCTTGATTATCTTCAAGGGTGTACGTATATATCTAGATCTCTATCTATAGCTATCTATCACCTATATGATGCTTATTACAAATGCTCAATGACAGCTGAATAAATGAATTTTCAAAATGCATATTTAGACTGAGTTGAACCATTTTGTTTAAGTTTATCAGACTCCATCCATTATAGCTCTAGATTTTTTAATTAAGACTATTTGGTCCAAATTAATCTATATAACAATTTATTTCCATCATAATATAATGAAGTATACTTTTCCTGCAAGTAATTTATTTAAATTTATATATAAAAATTTACCTAAAGTCATAAAAATATTTGTTTTATTTCCAATAGGACAAGGAATAAAAGAGACAAATCTATATTTTATATTTTCTTATTACATAGCATGTCTCTTTGCAGCATCTATAATAATAATAGAGTAATATGCTAATTAGACTGGACATCCTTCCTGACGAAGCCGGGGCTGGAGGAAAGCCAGCCTGGGTCCCGGGTGCCTGCCAGCGGCTAGGGGAGGGAAGTCTGGGTCCCGGGTGCCGGAGGGAAGCCGGTGCCAGCAGCTCAGATCCCGAGTGCCAGAGGGAAGCTGGTGCTGGCAGCCGAGGAAAGGAAGGCCTACTCTTGCACGAATCTTCATGCATCGGGCCTCTAATATCATTATATTAATATTGTCTAGTCAACCATAAGAGTTACATAATTCAAAATTTAAAATTCTATGACTTATTTGGAAAATATGTTATTTCATATATTGATGTATATATAATTAATGCAATAGATGAATTAACCTCCACATTAATTGTACAAATCAATAAACGTTAAAATCAATGACATGGAATTTCTAACTATAATATTAGTTCAAAGGGAAAAAAATATGTCAGAACTAATCTGAACTGAGGGTTTACTCCATAAATTTTATTCATTAATATTTTACTTTCCATAAGAAAATAATTCAAGTAAGAAAAAATTAAACAGTATCCAAATATCTTTCCTGATATTTTATTTATTAGGGACAAGAGACAATTCCCTAATAGGAAAGATGAAAATTACAGATAAAATTTTGTTCATACACTAAAGGGAGTAGTTCTTGAAATAGAAAATCCATACCAGGTCCTGCTAAAGACATTCTAGGATAAACAGCTTTCACAAGTTCTTAAGTTTCATTCAAGTACAGAGCTGAATGTACTACAGTCCAACGTAGGCTATGCAATTCACTCACATCCAGGGAGAACTCTTGCTATTTCCAGGGGCTGAGGAAAGGGGAAACGGGTGATGGTGGTCAAAGTGTACAACGTTTCAGTTATGCAAGATGAGTAATTTCTGGAAGTCTAATGTACAGCATGGTGACAAGAGTTAACAATACTGTTATATACTTGTAATTTGCTAAGAGGATACATAACAAAATGATAATTATGCAGAGAAAATACAAAGAGTTTCCCATCGAGGGATTAGAATCTGGCATAACAGCTCCAGAAATTTAAGGCCTGATAAGGCCTTCACCTAACCACCAACCAGCTCTGGAAGCCTGAGACTATGTAGAAGCAATTTGCTTACTGACCTCACTGAGAACACTGTCTGGTGCTTAAAACCTCCCTTTGCTTTCTCCCTCCACCCACTGTTCAGCAAATATTTGTGTGCGAGGCACTGGGCTAAGGAATGAGTATAAAACAGTAAACTATACTACAATTATGACCTTGTCCCTCCTAAAGTTCATAGTCTAACAGGGGAAACCTATTTAAGCAAGCAAATAGAATAAAATGTGGTAGAAAAAGGAAGAATAAGGCACTTGGCAATGTCACAACCCAAAGGGGTAGGAGTAGAGGCAGGACAGGCATCCCTGAGGCAGTGATGACTATGTTGGACCTGCAGATAAATTTAATTGATTTAAACCTTTCTGTAAATCCACGTCCTGACCACAATCTGATCCTTCTTGCCTCCTGCCTGTAGGACCATAATCCATCTTGATTATAATCCATCTTGATTATACCATTTTGCCACAAAATACTCAACTAATGACTGGACTCTTTTTTATTCTAGTAGGACACTAAAATCCAGACTCCCTCTCTGAGGCCAAAATTCAAAAATTTCTTTAATGCAATTCAGTTGAGTAAACAGCATCCTAGGATCTTGAGA